ATGTCTCTTAAATTCATAAATTCAAACAGTACATCCTCCGTACCGTTTATCCTATAAAAGTTGACATCGGAATTATAGGTTAAATCAAATAAAATATCGTATATGGAGATTTGATGGGGTACATTAAGTAGTTTGAAGGCGAACATAATTGATGAAAATAATTTTGAAATGACTTACCCTTTTTTTTATCCATCTTATATAGAATTGTTTGTACCATTTTATAATTTTTTTTATTAACCATATTTACAAAGGGAAAAAAAAAATTTTATTTTTAAAAAAAATTTCCATAAGGCGAGTTTCTTTTGCCAAAACTGGAGGCACCATGTAGAGTAACATGAATATGTGCCGGTGAATAATAAATATGTTATATTAACTTTATTAAATAAAAAATATATTTTATTAACTAACTTTTTCATTTCATACTTCTATTATATACATTTTTTATAGGTCCAAATTAGAATATAAACGAAATACAAAAAAGTAAAATAATATATAAAAAAGTAAGGTTACGCCGTTTATAAAATAAAATTAGATTATAACAAATAACAAAAAATTAGATTATAAAAATATATAATAAGATTAAGAAATTAGAATAACGCAACATATTATATGTAGTCAGAAGTCAAGATTTAGAAAATAATCTAGATAGAGTTATGAATATATTTTATTTTTTTAGGATAATTACGCCTAAATTTATTTTTTTTTACAAAAATATGAATAAAAACAAATAATCATATAATTTTAAATATATTTTTTGTAGTAATTAATTCCTTAATAAATATTGCATATTGTCACCTGAGAATTAGGTTATTCTATATTCACTTTTTGTCAAAAATGACTTTTTTTTACATAAATCAATTTTTTATCTATTCTCGAACCCTCTGGTCTTTCAGATCTGATGGGAAACGCCCTGACGGGATCTCTCAAATTCCCTGGAAGCGAGGTCAATTCTTGGTCTGGGTTTACTCTTGTATTGATCCATTGGCTCCTTCCAATCAATCCCTTAACATTCTGGAGAACAAGGAGCTTCTAAAAATTGCAAAATATTTAGAGATATCCCAAAATCACTTATTCATTCCCATCATTTCCACTACCTTGACTACCTTTGGGAATCGTGCTCTTTCTTTCTTCAAGGAACTTGCATCGCTAATACGCAAACTAACAGATGAACCTCGTGAAGGCTTCTTCTAAAGACAAAGACTCGCAGTAGCAATTCACAGGGCTAATTACATCAGCTTCATTGGCAGCCTCATCTCACATGATGATTAGAATATATTTTATATTATTTTAATCGCGTAATGAATAATTTATTTATATATAATTTAATATAATATTTAAAAATTGTAAACAATATTTCAACTTTGTACTTTTTATCTATGTCTTATAGAATTGTATTAATAAGTGGTTTATTATAAAACTTGAAATTATAATATAAATAAAATTATATAGAATTATCATATATTGAAATAATTTTTTTTTTTTTTTCATTATACAATTTTATTTACATCGAAAAATCCAAAATATTTATAAGACGACTCAAATTATCCGATACAAGATTAAATATTCTATTGAAAGCAATGGAAACTTAATATTTTAAATTGTGCTCCTGTTAAATTACAAAAAGTGAAGATAGAACAATAAGCCATCATTATGTAACCTTCTTTAAAGTTTCAACAAACAGTAATAACAAGTTTCTATAGCAGAATGTTTCCTATGTAATATTAATAAAAAGGTTCATTAAAGGAAGTGTTTTGACAACATGCACTTTCGAATGCATTATTTTCCTCGGAATATCTAAATAGGTAGTTAAATAGCTCATTTTGAGTCGAAATTTAAAAAAGGCTAACTCAATATTTTAACCAGAAAATATTCTATAGGCTAAGAGATTTCGATAATATATGTCTAAACCTTTGTTTCTTCTATAAACAAAATCTTAAGGCTTGATAATATTTTCTGGATGAAATATTGAGTTAGCAGTTTTTAAAAATAGGCTCAAAACGAGCCGTTAAACAACACCATAAATAGAATTAATGAAGGTGTTTAACTAAAAATCTTTTGAAAAATTAGCTGTTATCAAAGTATTATAAATTAATAGTTTATATTATTATAAGTACTAGATATCTGCTAAGGTTTTTGTAATGTAACGAAAAAGTTATACGTTACTTTTTACAATATATTATAATATTTATGAGGCAACTCGCATAATCAGTCAATATGCGTATTAGCCAAGTCGGGTTATAAGTTATAAAATTTTCCAAATTTTATTTGGATTTTACACATCAAGGAATCTCTATCCGGAAAAATTTAACGTGCTAAATAAACTATTTATAGTTGGTTAATATCACAATCATTTGTTTGAGCACTCCTGTAGAACGTTTATTTAGTTAGGAAAGCCTTTTTGAGGCACGCCCTTTAAAGACGAATTTTTGAAATAGTAAAATTTTTTAAGCCTAAAATAAAAGAAGTTCAGTTATTTTAAGTATAATATATCAACTAGCTTGATATTTAAAAGGACTTTATCTTGGTTTAATATTATGAATTTTATTGAAGCAAAAATTGAGATTAAAAGTTTTATTTAACTTTTTTATGGGTAATCAACATTATTGTAATAAAATTGTTGATTTATAAACTAAACAATATGTGTAATTGATAAGGTAAGGATGAAGGTCGTCGATGTTTATATACTACGAGATTGGCGATGATTGATGCACTAAATGCATTTTAAAATGTATCATTAATTAATGATTACTCAAAATTTAAAATATATTCATTAGTTGTTAAACGGTACAATTTTTAAAAACCGCTCCGTATTTTGGTTATCATGTACCTGAAAATTATACTTATAAATAGCTGAGTTGTTTGAACATCTATTAATAATATCTCGAACCTTGAATAATTTTTTGGCTAAAATATTGAATTAGCCGCTTTTAAAAATCGAGTAACAATACTAATATTCTTATTATTTAAATATTGTATAATATACAAAATAGTTCTATCTAACTAAATTCAATTGTTGGCTGCTTCAAATATGACAAGTCTTTAATTGATTATATCAAAAAAATTTTTAACCTACAATAAAATGAAAACTAAACTACATCATATTAATATACAGGGCAGTAGCTAGGAAATTCTAGCTGGCGGAGGGAGGAAGCAAGGGCAACTGCTTACTTAGGGGGCCAATAATTTTTAAACTAAAATAAATAGTTAGGCACTCATAGAAATTTGTTTGTTATTTTTATTAAAAATTTGTAAATGTTAATATGAATCACCAAATAATACTAGACGATTTTTATTTCAAAATTTTAATATAAATGAATTAAAAGCTAAATTCTGTGTTATTTTTTTCCACAAGGCATTAAAATACCAAATTTTGTTAACGTCGATCTTTCATTGATTCTCTAGTGCTCAATTGAACTCTTTTTAGTATAGAGAGTGAGGTCTCACAAGAAGCCGTTGATTCCCCAATGGTAATGGCTGATGAGTAGCATTTATACAATTCTTTAGATGCAAGATAATATTTTTTTCATACATAATTTTTACGATATTTTTAAAAATATGTTTCATTAACTTCTGCAGCTAATAATCCTTTTGCTATTTCTTTTCATGGTGTAACGTTTCCTCATTTAAATTGAGTAATGATTCTAATGGGGCAATTTTATCTGATATAAAATAATAAGGGTTAGAATGGGGGTCAATTAAAATATTAAAGAAGATTATAATCATATTGTGTGAATCTATCTAAAAAAACTATCTACAATAATTTCTTAATAATTCTTTTTTAAACAACTCCAATTGTAGTCCTTTTGACAATCAAATTGTAATTTGGTATCGCCTAAAAAACTTTAAGATTTGTAGGTGCTTTAGGTACCCTTGATGATTTTTCAGGGATGAGATTAAATATTGATATAGCTTTTTCAGCTTTTTGATTTTTATCAAATCAAAAGAATTATCGCCTTTTTATTTTTTAAATTAATTGTAGAATTAATACAATTTTTTGCAGATCTCTATTAGTACCTACTGACTTTAGATACTTTGGATCTATTGTTATTACTTCATAAATTATAATGGTGAGTATAATATAATTTATATTAACACATTGAGATAAAATACAAGAGGCTTCGACTGAATCATGAGAGGATATCTCTGAGTTAAAAGTATTAGAATATCAAAATACTACTTCATCAATAGCCTCACAATTCTCATAAAAAATACATGTTTCTAAATGACCAGACCTCTGATCTAAAAGTCTCTTAAGAGTATGGCCTGCATATTTACAGGATACCTTAATATGCCTATAAAAATTACCAGGTACCTTTTTATTAATATTTTGAAGCAGAGTGTGACTCCTATATTTCGGCCAGACATGACGTTTGATCCATCATTTGTCTGGCTTATTATATTCGATGAATAAATATTTAATAAGATGCTTTAAGATAAAATTAATATTAAATTTTTCCACTAAAAATATAACCAATAATTATGCTCTAGTTTAACCTGATGCATCTTTTTCCTCATCACCCTTAATACGTAAAGGCATCTCATTGCGGAATTGATTTTGCGATATTACCTTCGCTATAAAATCTTTTCGAGATATTTTTTTCGTTACAAATCTTTTTGCTATAAATCTTTTCGCTATAAACGACATTCGCTATCGATTAAAGTTTTGCTGAATTGTCCTGATACGATTTTCGAGCATTACATCTACCATATTAGATTTCATTTTAAATTTGGGTGATAAATATTATGTATTTTGGATATTCATTTCATAATTTTATCTAATTCCTAACTTTTTGGATGGTGCATGAAAACATTGTTATAAATAGTTCAGAAAAATAAATTAGGTTTTAATCTTTAACCTGCACCATCAAAAAGTGGCTCCTGTATGCTAAGAAGTAGTATAATTAAATACTGATTAAAGATGATATCGATTACGGTTAATTTGGCTTACCAGAATTATTGTTATCTCAGTGACATAATTTATTAAATCACCTGAATTTTAATGAATGCATTCATTCATATTTAAATTGACAAATTATAATTTTGTGAATACATCAAAATTTACTATAATAAGACGGCATTTTGCTCTATTCATGGAGAAAGAACAAATTATTCCTGATGTTGTAAAAACAAAAGCTGAGCATAAATTAGAGGTTAATTGCAAAGTTATAAGGATCTTTATATATTTTTATAGGTTAAATATGGAAGTCATGTTGTAAATGAAGGGAATGTTTTAACTCCCACTCAAGTTTTATATATTTTATTTTGAAATATAATATTCTTACTTTTAGGTTAAAAATTCACCTGTAATTAAGTGGCATGCTGATGATAAAGATTTGTTTACTTTAATAATGACAGGTTATAATATATTATAATATGGAGGTTGATATTACATTAAAGATCCTGATGCACCTAGTAGAGAAAAGCCTATTTATAGAGAATGGCATCATTGGCTGGTTGTGAACATACCTGGGAATAATATAAAATCAGGTGATGAAATCTCTCAATACATAGGGTCAGGGCCTCCCAAGGGAACAGGTATATCATTATTTTGATAATTCTAATATTCCTTTTAAAGGTCTTCACAGATATGTATTTCTTGTATACAAACAACCTGGTAAAATAGATATTTCAAAGCTCACAAAACTTACAAATAAGTTTATAAAAAAATGGAATAATTTTGAATAATTTATTATTTAGGTCTGGAGATGGCAGAGGTAATTTTAAGGCTGAAAAATTTGCAAATGAACATCATTTAAAACCACTTGTAGCTTGTAATTTTTTTCAAGCTGAATGGGATGATTATGTTCCAGAAATTTATAGACAATTAGGGGGACATTAGGATATTTTTATTAATTATTTTAAATAATGGAATATAAGTATTTAAAAATAAAATTAATCAAAATTGTTGTAGTTGTTGAATTTTTATTTTATTGATCTTGCTTTACATTAAATTAAGAATAATAATTTTTATTTTTTTTATAGCATCTTACATATTTTGAAGTTTTAATTATAATATAAAAAAGAATAAATTAAATTATTGTCTCATTATTAATTCTTTACATACATTAGACATTTTATAGCTGAGTTTAATACTAAATAAAATTTCCTATTTTAAATCAATTCAATACTTTAAATGCAATTTTATTTCATAATTGAACACTTTTTTAAAATATCAATAAACACTTGGACAGAGAAATGAGACATTCTATGGCATATTATGATTATGTGCATATTAAAATCATACAAAAAAACTAGATATTATATAATACACTGTGATGCAATCAGTAGTGTAACAACTTTTCTTCAAAATTTCTTTGAAACCCCTACATGTATTAATTTATTTCCATATAATATATAATAAAACTTCAAGTTAGGGCAAGACCAAGATTTTACCCAACTTGGCAGTCACTCAATTTATCAAGGCAATTTCTAATACTTAGTAGTTAGTAAGAATTTTGGGACTCAAAATTTTTTAGTTTATTAATCAAAAAGACACCATTTACATAGAAATATAACAACTTAATTAAATTAAATTTAAAATTTTTGCCAATATAAATAAAAATAATTATTGGCTATAAATAGCATTTACTGCTTTCCTAGGAATGTAAATATCAAGAAAAAAGTATAAAAATGGGGGGAAAATATGCTAGAAAATTATTTTAACGAAATTTTGAAAAAATTTTTCTCTAAAAAAATAAAAGTATTTATTTTAATAAACAACTAAATGCAGAATATTGACATAATATTTTCTAGGGTTGTACAGATATTAAATATCTGATTAGAAACGATACTTTTAAAAAGTATCGGATCAGAAACAATACTTTTATAAAATTTAACCAATATAATTATTTTTACGCTGCATTTATTGTAAACCCGTTATCTTCATGCGGTCCGTTATTTAGCTCTGAAATCACAGCTGTTTCTTCACATTATTTAATAGATAATGCTAAATTAGAGATATTTATTTTTTATAATATTTAAGAAAAATTATATACCCTTTTATCGAATTGGCCATTATTTTCATAATCGTATCGCAAATTTTTTATCAACGCACCGCAACATGTTTTTCAAATTTTTATAATAAGCATTATCATAACGCTCCCTATTTATAAACTATACCTATTTATTTATTGCCTTGATTTTGTAATAACGCAACGCTGAACATAACGCGTTTACTATAGATACAACCTTATTCACATATTTTACTTATTTTTGAATACTTTCTCGTTAATAAATCTGAACAACTCTCATAAGAGTGAAGGAAGTAGGAAGACGCTACTTTTAAAATAAAAATGATAGAAGTAAAGTATATCAGTAAACTAATATTTACCCAAAATTTTTGTGTATTTTTTATTTGTTTATTATTTATTTCATTGTTTTCATTAAGAAAAAATTTATGGTATAAATAAAAATCATTGGAATTTAAATTTCATTAATTAACATAAAGATATCAATATTTTATCTCCAATCGATCCTTTGATTATTGGAGGGTCGAAGCTCAAAGATTTCTAACTTTGGCAAACCTTGCACTTAAGGATTTGGCATCTGCAACAAGTGTTGATGATAAAGATAGCCCTCATAAGAGAAGTTTATTATCACACTTGAGGCTATCACAAAGAAAAATGTCGAATATTTTAATTTAATATTTCATTTATATATTATTTTATTAATTAATATTGAGATTTAATTTGTTTTTACTTTTTATTCAAACAAAAATATATAATTTATTATACAGAAAATTTAGTATGAATATAGTTATTTAGCATATAAATGTATACCTGTTTGTGTTAAGGTTCTAAAATAGATAAATGAAAATTCTGATCATTAAAAAAAATATAAGACTATCCTATATGTATAATTCTTTAATTGCTATAACTTAATAAAATAAGACTTACTGTATATCTTATAAATACAAACCCTTTTTTCTACAAATTTAAAGATGAGAAATGTTTTTAGAATCTTAAAGCTTTGAGGTTTTTTTTCTCTCATTTTTAAGAGCTGGGAAAATATTCCGATTCAAATTACTTTAAAAAAATTTATAAACCGATTTTTTTATTATTCCGTTATCTTAGGTTTTATAAAATAATGACAAAAAAAAATCAATGTAAATATCTGGTCGGTATTGGTGCCGTTTTAAATAAATATCGGATCGGTGAAAAAATTGTATATTTACCCTATTTAAGATGATTGTGATATTGAAAAGTTGCAATAAAATTGGTTGATAATATTTTCCATAAAGATTGATGTAGTAATAAAATCAATTTAAAAAAAAATAAATGAACGATAATTTTTTCTTTCCCCGAAAAACGGGCTTTTTTTTAAAAAATCTCTACCATTTCACTTAAAATCTGGAAACGGAGTTTTAAACATTTCCATTTTATTATGATTAATTGAAATATAATCAAGTTTTAAAACAAATTATTTAGCTAGCCGTCTGCAACAGGCTGGTTTTTAGCCAGTCCGTTCACGCCCATCCGTACTATAGGCTGGCAAACATTTAAAACAAATGGTGGACCAGGGAATTTAAAATATTTTTTTCTGACGAATTGAGCAGATGAATCTTTTATTTATTAATATTTATTTTTTATTTCATATTTTATAAATTTAATTTTAAATAAATACATTTAAAAGAAATAATTTTTCAAATATAACATTATTTTTATTATACTCTTTAATATCTTTTTTGAAGGCTATAAAAGTTTATAAATAGATTTTTTGGTCTTACATTTAAAAGAAATAAATAATTTTTAATATTTTTTTTTATTTATATAATCTCTTCATCTTTGTTTATGAAGGCTATAAAAGTCTCTAAATATATTTTTTGGCCTTATGAGATAATTTATTTTTAGTATAATATTTATAAAATATATTATCTATGAGTTTTATAAAGGAAAAATTAGTAAATATTGACCTAAATGGATCATTTTTTTGGGGGGGGGGGGGGAATATGGAACAGGAAATCAATCCGAGAAAAATTTAATTTGGATTAAGAATAGATTCCCCTTTATTTCAGTTGATTTAGATAATCATTGGTGGGAATAAGGGTGGGGGTGAATTTATTTAGAAAAAACCAGCCCCAAATGCTCCTTGTCTCGCTCTGGGTATAAGAAAATTGGAACTAAAATTTATTAGATATTCGTATTTTATTGAAAAACTTTATATATGAGATAATAGCACATTTATTTATTTGATCCAAATCTCTCGTTATAAATAGTAATATGTTATTTAAATAAATATATTTAATTCATAAGTTTAAATCTAATATAATAAAATTTGTAGTAAAAATACTAATTATTTATCCCGATTTGAGGTAGAGAATAACAGTTTTTCTTAGCCTCTTCCAAGTTATCTTGCATAATAATTTTGTTTAAGTCTATAAATTTGTCTAGCGCTAAACTGTAAACGGTTTCGAAGGGCATATTTATCCCTACTTTCTTCACAACATCCACTCTATAAGTTGGCAATCTTCTCTTCCCCGATTTCCATAGCTCTATTGTGATCATGGCTCCCCATTCTGGTCTTTTAGAGTAAGAAATATTTAATGCCGTCATGAAGGCACCAAGGGTATGATCGTGAGCCGAAACGAATTCCAACAAGGGTCTTTTTCTTAAATATCTTCTATATTTACCATTTTTAGGAATAATTGTCGCATTGTATGATATTTTATGAGCTTGCAATCGGTCTATTAGAGTGTACATCAAATGACCTATGACATTCTTTTGTAATGGTATGTTATCCCTAACAGCATTCACAAACATAAGATCTAACAAGTTGTCAATGATATCCGTGGTAGCCCGATCCACATTCCATAATTTCGATAAATTATCTTTAATTTCTGCTAGCTTGATTACTTCTTTATTCCTTTCTTCGTGATCCAAATATTCATCTTGATTCCTATTTTTGAGACTGTTAACGCAATCCGACAAATCGCCTAATTCAACTATACGTATTAAAATTTTTATTGGATCTTTTGTTTCATTTATATAGAAGGATTTATAAAGTGTTTGTAAAGAAGGCATTGCCATATTAAACCTTTCCTTAAACTCTGAGGATTTCTTAATATTTTCTATTATATTTTTCCTATAATTTAAGCATATATCGGCAGCGCTTAACAAAATGTCAGGATTTTCCATGATAGTTATGTTCAATAAATCCTTGTCCACCATCCTAACCCGGTCCAATATTTGAGAATTAACCAAATTATCTTTGTTTTGTAACCCTATCATATAGGCTATTGCAGTTTGTATAGCTCTGGTCGATTTGCTCGAGAATAATCTTATGTGAATTTTACGAAAAATGAATCTCTCCCCTAATAATTTCGTATAATGTTCCGAATTTTGCCGGCCTGAATTCAAGATCTGCAGTATACCATGATCTGTCATATTACCTTCCCCATTCGGCCAAATTTGTTCGTCAAAAGTAAATTTTTCCGGAGCTAATTCCTTGTACGGGGCTCTCTCTCCGTGACGACTCAATTGAAAGACATATAGTAGTTTATCTATATTTTGGAAGGAAATATAAACATATAAACACATATTTTATAAGAAAAATTTAATATATACCTTTCGATTTTACTCCATTAACTAATGCAATCGCCAATATAAAAATAATCGTATTCATTTTAGGTGGTATAATAAGCATGTAAAAAGAGAATTTTAAAAGTTTAGTGATTATTAAACTATATTTACTTGCCTTATATACCTTTCAAAGTTTCAGTGTATATATCAATCAGATACGTATATTCTTATTCAAATAAAAAAGAGTGACACATCTGTATAAATAGATAAATTAAATATTTTCTTTACACTTTATTTATAGATAGGAAACTCAACTTTAAGAATATTAGTACTATCATTATTTGAATAAAAACTCTTGATTATTTGTTTAATTAATAAATGATTAATTTTTATTTGCTTAGAAATAAAAAGTTATTTTTATATTATTTAAGATAAATTTCCTGTTCTTAAGCAAATTGACGACTATCGCTAATTATACAGATAATAATGAATATAATTTGTGTAATAATCAAATCAATATTTATCTTTTGCACACTATATTTTAGATGCTAGAAGAAATCTGCATTTTAAAAGATAAACAACAAATTGATGGATCTTTTTAAAGGCTGCGTTTAATTTCTAAAAAAATTTTCAAGAAACATCTGATTGAAACGCTATGTTTTTTTTTAGAATTTAGAATTTTATAATTGATAAACGTGAAATATACTCATGTAAGTCTAATTTACATATTAATAATAAAAATTTTAAAATTACTTATTACATTTTAAATATCTGTTATCTAGTCAGGCGTCTGGGAAGCGAGAAGAGGCGTCTCCTTAACTAAAAAATGAAAATTATTTACGAAGTATATTTGAAGAAATATAAATGGTTTTGTTGAATGGTAAAGTAACCCAATAAAATGTTATATTATACTATACTTTAAATGAATTATTTTGAATTCCTTTGAAAAAATATAGGATTGGCCTTGCGAACCCAGATATTTCATCTAAATCAGATATATTATTAGATTCATTATGATTTTTACATTTGGGTAGCAATAAATTATTAATTATTTAGCTGTATAACTATCTTAGACAATATATTTTATAGGGATTGGCTCAGAAGAGTAGTTTTATTTATTTGAAGCATCAGCAAGTATAGTGAATAATAATATGTATCTATCACTAAATATAATTTTACGTTTGCTTACATAACAAGAAAAATAATTATGTATATCGTCTATAGCTGCAGAACAGTAAAATAAACATTTATATCACAAAGCTAATATATGTCATTATAAATTGGTATATTAACCTTTTTTTATTGTTAATTAAATAAACTTACTATATATTAAATAAACATTCTATATCTAATTATATATAACATTTTTCAAAAAATTATAATGATTTGACAGAAGCCATGAGACTAATATTATCAAGTTATATAAGAGGTTCGAAGCTAAATCTAAGTTAGTTAATTTGCAATATAAAAATATACTGACATTTAATGTTGAAAAATAAATCAAAAATCTGGCTCTATTATTTAAATTTTGGAAGTTTAATCTAGTAGAATCTTTCAAAAAGCACCATAGCATTGCATACCTTAAAATGGATTATTATAGTTTTTTAAAATATATATAAAAATTACTGCATATTTTGATAACAATACCATAAGCACAAGCACAAATGAGAAAACTTTATCTTTATTATAGAGAATATAACCTATCTTAGAAGTACGTCGTTAGAAAATATATTGAATGGATTAGTTCTACTTAATATCAATATCAGGGTCTCTAATTGAACAGTGAAACCGAGATAAACCGTTATAATTTCGAATAGTAACCATAACTAAACCGTTATAAGAATATTTTGAAAGAAAAAAAAAATCAAATTAATATAAATACTTTATCAGATAATAATACTATGAAGACATCAACTTCTTTTTCTGTTTAACATAAAATGAAACTAAGAGGTTTATTAATTGTTTCCCCAAATTAATAAATCAACTATAGAACCCAATATTATATCATTTTTAATTAAGGAAATAAACCCCATTATCAATTGTTGAACATTAGAAATTTAACTGATACAAGTTACAAATATTTGTTAAATTATTGGAATTATAAAAGAATAGATGATCAAGTTTCAATAATATTTAAAATTCAGCAAAACCCATTTACCTAAAAGTTACTCACTAGTTAGTGATATAAAAGTAAAACTAATTTATTATTGTTCATCATTAAAATCAAATACTCGATATAACAACAAACTCCCATTATATTGAGTTTTAAAAGTACTTCAATATTTTAGAGATTCGTCATTTGAAATTCAAAGAATTTATAAATAACCTACAAAAAAATATTTAAAAAATATATTTTTATTTCGCAGTGTTGTATTTTAAGTATTTTATTAGCTCAAAACTACCAGCTTATCCTGGGAGCCATATTTAAAATAAAGAAGACAAGAGGGAAGAGGAGCATAGTATTATATATATATTTTTTTAAATTCAAGGAATTTATCAAAAAAATAGTATTTTGGTTCATTATTTTAAATAAAATATTGCAATATATCATCCCTGCTGATCAATTTCATGGAATCCAAAAAAAATATCCTCCAAATCGTTGCAGGGTTACTGAGAAAATTATATGTGTTTCAGGAATTTATTTGAAGAAATTTCAAAGAAATAGAAGTAAATTAAGAATAATGGCTGACTATATAAAAAATGTCGGCAAACATCCCAAAATTGAAAAACTAACTTAATCTAGCGAGGTTATAATAGGTAGATAAGCTATTTTTAAAATATTCCAGATTTTTAAATTTGTTTTTATATATAAATTTTTTATTTTGCTTTTTTTTTTAGCTAATTTTAGTTATAACTTCCTTTGCTAAATTTAGATAGAAATATTTTTTTTCCTTAATTTTAGATATAATTTCCTTTTTTCCTCTAATGTTAGATTTTGAATTTCATTTTTTTTGTTATTTTTAAGATATAATTTATCTTTTTTATTAATAGATCGAAACAAATAGAACATAATTAATGGATATCATATCTTCCTAGAATGCTTTATCTAAGAATTTTTAGGCTTGGCGTTATTTTTAGCATCGATAAATATGTTTTTTTAGAGAAAGTTAATAAAACATACTTTGAAGATTTTGAAGTAGATCATTGTCAGGAGATTGCGGGGTAAAGTGCAAGTATATGGAAATCAATTCGGTTTTGTGGGCTGTTTGACCATGATCCAATTTTTACCCTCGAACACTGATCAAAATAGGGGAAAATGGGGAAGGAGCTGCATAGTGTTTATTAACTTGGAAAAGACATATGATACCATGTCTAGAAATCTGATATGGTAGTGTATATAAAAGAGGAATCCCGGACATATACAAATTAGATGTATGTAAGAGGATTGATTCAAGGCCGTTTCCCATAGAAGCTTGGTTACCAGCGTTAATTCCCTTTCTCTTTTTATTCATTTGCAATACTATAACAGAGGACTAACAGAGGCCAACTCCATGGTCATTGTTGCATACATAACATCGTGATATGCAAAGAAAGAAAAGTGATGATAGCACAGCGAGCATGGGCAGCTAGGTTGGAAATATGGCATCGCAATAGTTGGTCTAAGACAATGTAACTGGCAACAAACATTGCAGGTGGGTGTCAGAAACTATGTAAATCGCTCTATATCTAAAAATTGAAAAGTTTAGGTATCTTGGGTCCACAATATATCAAAACGGAGGTTGTCTTGACAAGGTCAACACTAGGTTACAAGAGGGTTGGATGAAATGGGAAAGTGTATCATTGGTGCTTTGTGACACTAAGATGCCACTGTGAATTAAAGATAAGGCATATCAAAATAGCGTCAGACCGATCTTGTTGTATGGGTATGAAATTGGGCATTGCCAACTTATGAGAGAAAAATGTTGGATATAACCAAAATGCATGTGATTAGATGAAGCATATTTTACACCAAGCTGAATCATAAGACCAATGATAGATCAAAAAAAGAAGATTGGCATAGATCCTTGTCGGAAAAGATAAATCAGAGTAGACTAAGATGGTATGGATATGTGTTAAGGACTGGCTCAACTAACGTGAATCGGCAAGTTCTCGTCTTGACCTGAAGTTACGGGCATGACTAACTTGAATTTCTCAAATCCGCAAGTACATAATGGATATATAAATTGTCTTTGATAAGGCCCAAAGCCAGCCATATGGAAGGATGGGATTTGTTTTAAAGACCCCATTTAGTTGTGGGATTAGCATGATAAAGAAGATTTTATTTTAGCGATTTATTTTTCTAGAATTATAGTTGTTATAAATAATCCAGGATCACTGAATTATTTACAATATCTTAATTTTTGGAAGTGTTAGAAATACATCTTAAATTTCATTTGTAATATATATAGAATTGGGCAAAATACTTTGAAAACATATTTCGTTAGGCAACAAAATACTTTTATAAATATGTATTTCTGCTACGCCTGTTAAGTATTGCTAAACAGGTTTTAGGGTGAGAAAGGTGGCTGTTAAAACCAAATTTAAAGAATTTATTACTTTTAAAAGTTAATTAAAAGCTAATTAAAAAGATTATATATTTTTAATTTATCCTATTTTATAATAAATAAAATATATTAATCTAAAAAAATATGATTTTGTTTTCGTTACTTTTCTAAAAAAATGAAATCAAAGGAGCGGTTATGGAGTGGCACTCTATTACTTAGAGCGGAAGTTAGCTCCTTTTGAAAACTCAGCAGCGGAAGAGAGAGCTAGCTCCTTTTAAGCAGGTAGGAGTGGGAACGGGAGCTAGCCGCTACCTATTATATATAATTACATTTAAAAAAAAATAAAATAAACATTGTGTAAATTATTTATGTTCATAATTTTTCAATATTTTTTTTTAGTGTAGTATGTTCTTGCATATAATGAAGTCTAATTATTTGATCGGTTTTTTAATAAACTCTGGTTATGAATTAACGGAGATAATTATATATATATAATATATAATAAAAACAGTATTTATGCACAAAATATCAAAATACCAATTACATAATGTGTGAATCTAGACTGCTTGGTTGGGAAAACAGATCCTTATCTATGAGAGGGAATTAATTTTTGCCCCCCCCCCCAACTCCAGAATTTGTGCTTTTGGTCATTTTCTATTCCATCTCCAATTTTTATAATTTGACAGGAGATAAATTTCTAAAATTAAGTATCTAATAGATGATGGTATAAATAAGACCTAATATTGGTTATAATTTAACTTATTTTTTATAAATATTTCGGATTTTTTTGTTTAAATAGATATAATTATTAAAAAAATTTAATTTTTGTGCACGAAGTCATTTTTAACAAAAAAATGGATTTGAAATATATCTAACTTTCAAGCGATGATAGTATTGATAATAAAATATAAATTTAGGATAATCATAATTTAACAGTTTGATTAATTTTTTTCTTCTTCTAAATTAGAATTTTGTGCCCATTTTCAAACTGTTTTGTTGCATGAAACTTAATTCTTTTCACCTTTATAATGTACTTTAAGAAATATATATATTTTTTAAAATAGATGAAAGATATATATACCTTGATAAAAAAACAGAAATATACATAAAAAATTTTATTTCTCTCTTATTTTGGTATAAAAAAAAATTAAAGAATATAGATATTTCTAAATTTTAATTATAAATTTATTCTTTGAGTTTTTTATGATTTACAATTTTGGTGTAAACAATTTTTTTTGCCATTTTTTTTTGTTAAATATAAGTGAAATTTTAACGCATATATTTTGTTTAAAATGCTTTTCACGTTTTTCGAGTTGTTGAACAAATAGCCGAAAGAATGGTAATTGATGAACCTTCAAATATGTTTTGAAGATTTGACACTTTCGAAGCTCAGAGCAAATTAAAATTTTTTTTTTTTAAATTTTACTATCATAAAAAATGTTACCTGAAATAAAATCGTGATATTTTTGTAAATCGTTCAATTGATGAACTAAAAATTAGTCTATTGTGATAAATACGGTAAGATATTCCGAGAAAAAAACTTGTATGCCACTCCTTTAGAATAATTAATTAGGTATAAGCGAAAAAAAGAAGACATTTATTTTATCTTAAGATCTTTTAGAAGGAGCAAAAAACAAATCCCCTAAAGGTGTTTGCCTTTAAAGGATATTATAATATTTTTTTATAAAGGAGGCATTGTGTTAATTTAATTTATATTTTGTGTTGGTACGTTAATCTGGCGGCCAAAATAAAAAGGTTATTTTTAGAAATTCAAGATTTATCTATTGTTTTATGACTGGTTATTGATGATATATAACCAAGTCTATTTTAATCATAAATTATGTGTAAAATTAACCAAACTAAATATTCTTATAAAATAAAATTTTATATCATTGTAAAAACAATTTCTATTTTTTATATTTATGTGACATAAAAAAATCTATAAAAAAACCAACCCTTTTTCTAGAAAAAATAAAATAAAATAATATTTATTTCAAATATAATTATTACATTTTGATTTTAACAAAAAAATATTTATTAAACCTTTTACCAAATTTTTTTTTATTTACCTTCAAAGCAAATAAAATATATTTTCTTATGTTAAAATAATATAAACACTTTGAGAGAGAATAAAATAAAAAATATTCTATATAACCTATTTAAAAAAATATAATATTTTGTTTTAAAGTGTTGATGATCCGACTTTTTGCTATAAATAGTCCCGATAATAAAAATAAAACTGTTTTTAAAAAAATAACACCATTCATTTTAGTAAAAAATTTTGATTTTTACCCGAATTTTAAATTTTAAATTATTAATTTTATTTTTAATTTAAAATTAAAATTAAGTTATCTTTTAGTTAATTGTTTTTTTAACAAATAGAATGGTTATAATCAAATTTTCTTTCATCTTTTTCTGCGTTTGTTTGGGAACGGTGGGATGTTCTTTGTCCGGATTCGACGATATAATAAGATGCCATAGTTGCTGTTCGCAAAATGTGCAGGTTTATTTAATGATATATTTTTCTTCTAATAAATATACAATCGTTTATTTTTTGAGGCCACTCTTTAATTTATTTACATTTTTTTTCTTCTGTAAATTAGTTAATTTTTTTAATTTTTTTATTTGTTCAAATGTATATAATTTTATTCATTCGAGAATAAAGTACCTTGATTTAAAAAAAAATTTGAAACTATTAACAGGTTATGTACGATAGAGGTGAAATCAGTGTGAACAACGGGACAGTATTGAAAACTTCGCAAGTATAAATTTAATAAAAAAATTTCTTTTTAAAATATAAAAAGTCATTTAGGCACAATGTATAATATGTTAGGTGGCTATATGTGTTATTTTTTCAACTTTAAATCATTAATTTTTTGAGCGCGTGTTTTTTTTTAAATTTAAAAAACTGATTTTACTGGATATGCATTCCATCATGTTTGTAATACCTACTATGGCAATTTTGCTAGAGGAAATTTTGAACTTATTAAAGTTTATATTAGTTTTTCGATAGATTTTATATTTTAAAATATAAATATAAAATGAATCAAACTTGTACTGAAAAATTGTCTACAATTCATAATAATACATTTCCAGTATAAAAGCTTTTTAAGTTTAAAAAAAAACACGCTTAAAAAATAAAATGATAATGACACATTGCTTGAGTGATAACGCCTTATTTCGATAGCTAACAACTAGGCCTTAATGAGGGCGATTTTTGATTTAAAAAAAATTATGTTTAAATAGGTTCCAGCATGTCTAGAGTAGGGAAATTAATTAATAATAATTTTTTTATATTTGATAAATCAATAAATTCACAAAAATTTACGCCGTAAATTGTTTGATGTTTAGAAGTCAAATTACACCAAATTCTGAAATACATTTCTGGTCAATTTAAATTTTTCAAATTTAAAAAAATCACCAGCAGTGAAATATTTAAAATTGAGAGATGTTTAATCTCCATGAATCATTTATAATAATGTAGAAAATATTTTCTTTATTACTTGATCTCTACCTTATAAGATTTATGTATGTTTTTACACCTCTCCTACCCCATTTTTGTATATAAAATAAATACAATTAAAAATTCGGTCTATTTATAAGTTCTCCTTCACCTATTGATTTGGATGGATATTGAATATAAAATTAATATAATTAAAAATACGGTCTATTTAATAAGATCTCCTTCAACTATTGATTTGGATTTGGCATATTTATATATTTTTTTTATCGATTATTAAGAAATAATTAACATATTGGCGTTAAAAAATTATCTGATTAAGTTAAATTTTTTTTAAACCTTTTTCTCGTACAAATAAATAATAAGTAAACAAAAATTAAAATCGATCTGAGAAAAATTGGTACATAACATTATGTGAATAAAGCTGGAATCCAAACTGGAACTAATGTCGGTTCAGGTAAAAATAACGGCTCTGGGTTCAGGTTCGATTCTTAAAAAATTATAATGTCGGTTTGGTTTGAAAACCCGGTTCATACCTATTCGCATACAAGCTAGAATAATGTAAAAAAAAAAACTTTTTTTAAGAAATGTTTTATCATTATTCTCTTTATAAAATAAATTTTCAAGAAAAATTAAAATTTTTTTTCGTTAAAATAAATTTGTAAACTTAAAAAAATAATATGAAAAATTTTATTATCAGTTACCTTAATTTATTTTGTATTAACAGTATACATAGAAATGAAAATTTCTTTGTAAAATTTATTCCAAATTAATCATTTGCAAAAAATTTCAAGAGAATAATGATTCAGTCATGAGGCTGATAACTAAATATTATTGATACTAAATAATGTATTTTGGCAATTTATTTTCTATAAAAGTTTTACCTACCAATAAATTTTATATTTATTCCTTATGTTAATTTTTTTTTTTTATAAATAATTAATATATTTTTAATTTAGGCCAATTAAATTATTATATCCATGTTGAAATATATATATTTTTTAATAGTTGGTTTTCAAATTTGATAGACAAAAATAATATAGAAAAATTAAATTTCTTTTAGATATAATTTATTCCAACTGTATATTAATACAATATTTTAAAAAAAACTAGGTTCTTTTGTAAATTTGTCTGAAAAATATATTTTCATTTTTGGTCCATATAATATAATATTTTTTATTATTCATTTATCTTTAAAACATGTAAACAAAATATAAAGAATATATATATATATATATTAAAAGTGAATGTATATCTTAAAAAAATCTATGGCTAAAGAGCTTATAGTAAAAATGTTCCAAAAAACAGGTATAATTATGTTTAAAAATTTTTAATTGGAGTTTTTGTTTAAGAAAAATTGATTCGCAATATATATTATTACAATAATATTTCTTTTACAATTATCGAGATGGGCCAATTTTTTTTTCTTCAAATAAATTTTTGGTACAACAGTTATTCGATAAAAAAAAAGTAATAATAACTTAATGATCACTCTATAGTTGTTAAACGGTTGCTAATTCAATATTTTAGCCAGAAAAATATTATCTAAGCCTTATAAAATATTGAATTTAGCCGTTTAAAAATCGGCCCAAAATGAGCTATTTAACAACACTACTCTCCATTAGTGTTGTTCCGCTCGATTTGAGCCAATTTTTTAAAAACTGGATATTTTATGCAAAAAAATATTAGATTTTGTTTATAGATGGCACAAAGGTTTGGACATCTATTAGCGAAATCTCGAGGCTTTAGAAAACATATTTTCTGGCTAAAATATTGAGTAAGCCGTTTTTATAAATAGGTTCGAATCGAGCCGTGTAACAAGACTACTCCACATTTATATACCTATCACCCATAGGAAAAACAATTTACAAATCGGAGCCAAAATTATTTTTTAAAAAATATCCAAATTTAAAAAATTCGAATCGGCCTGGAATGATCAAAATTACAAAAAAATCTGAAAATTGGTATCTGCAGGTTTCTATGGTGATACTTGATATTTGAAGTGAAGACCTGCAAAAATAAATCCTGGCACTACTCAAAAGAGCCCCGCGCATGGCATATTTAAACAAATCAATAATTTCTACATTTAAATAAATTTGGGTAAGGGCGAGCCTGCAAATTTTTTATTTTTGTTTGGGTTCTTAGGGACAAATCAAAAAATAATTTGATCCTGGCGTGGAAAATTTGATATATATATGCGTAAATTAAATTTTATAACCGGGTTTTTTCGCTAGTTCATAGATTTTTAAAACGTTAAAATTTGGGAAATTTTCCTAATTGGGATAAATTATAGATTTTCAAAGACATCAGAAATATTCAAAAAGGGGGGAAATTTATAAATGAAAAACATTTATAAAAGGCTTAGCTTATACATATATTTTATATGATTTTTTATATACCAAATTTATTATCTATATTTTATGTTAATTAAGTTGTCCTTATTTATGAATACTTTATCAAAAAAATATACAAAAAAGGTAAAGGATCAACCAAGCCTTAAATGGAAATACGCGGAAGATAGTTTATATACTTTGATAAAAATAGGTTAGAATTTTTTTAGTGTGATATAAAAATTTTATTAATTATATTGTTTGTCTACTTATATTCTGTCGTATTGGGTTTAGTATTGTTTAAATGGCTTACTATAAATTTTATAAGTGTTACGCAAGCCTAAATATTTTGCTCATAGATGGCCCAAAGATTTGGACATCTATTAGCAAAATTTCGAGAATTAGGGAATATTTTTCTGTCTAAAATATGGAGTTAGCCGAAAAATTGGCTCTAATCGGGCCATTTAACAACATTTATTGGGTGGGATATGGAACTCATGGGTATTTGGAATATCTCAATTGCATATAATAAGAACAATTTAAAAATTTGACTTAACCGGAAATGTATGTTAGCCCCTATAAAGTGCTCACACTGAGATAAATTTCAGACATTCATCGCCAACTTTTGAATTACTTTTAAGTTATATTAATTTTAATATAGATGTATTCATAAAATTAAAAAGTAGACAAATGGCGAAAATTGTCTTCTGAAATTCATAGGTGAGACACTGTGCCTATTTAACATTTCTGATCAAATAAAATTTTCAAATTCAAAATGGCCCTCAGCACATTATTTAAAATTGAGAAATAATCCTCAAGGATTGCCAATACGATTATAGCATTTTATTAGCGCAACTTGCCTAAGGTAGGTTAGGTATCATTCGGATCACTCTACATTTTGTATCGAAATTAGATTAGGCCGTATCTTAATGAGCTTGATATGGATAAATATAAATTTTTTCAGGAACCAGAAGAAATATTTTTCATATTTTTATAACAGATCCAGATGCCCCCAGTAAAGCCGATCCTACAAGCAGGGAATGGCGTCACTGGCTCGTAGTTAATATTCCAAGGGATGATGTGAACGAGGGAAACATTGTCAGCAGCTATAAGGGAGCCGGTCCGCCTAAAGGCACAGGTTTATATTTCACAAAACCAATCTGTAAAGATTTTTAAAGAGAGATTTTGGCCTGGTCCCAATAATTCTTTAGCGGCATCGAAAAATTAATTGCTTTAGTCAAATAATATTTCAATTTTCATGTATTGTATAACAGGTTTCCATCGATATATATTTTTGGTTTACAAGCAAAACGGTAGATTGGACTCCAGTGCTATTTCCACTCAGTAAACATTATTTATTATCAAAGAGTTTAAAGTTCTTTTCTATATTCATTCAATAAGATTAGTTTTAGAAAATAACAAATAACTATTTAGCCAATATTTTAGAATTCTGATATTTATATTTTGATATTCTAGTCTAACACTGATCTCCATTGCTTAATATATAATTTTAAATAATATCATAATGTAGTTGAAACAATATCAAAAGAGATGGTAAGGTATTTATCGAGGATAAGATTAAGTCGGTTTTTCTTTATATCCAATTCCTCTTATAATGAGCATCCACGAGTTGAGGATCAAATTTTCTTTATGTTATTGGTCCCTGCTTCATTTTAAACTTTCCTAAAAAATTTTCCCCGCCGTTTTTACAAGCGCGTCTTGTCCGAAATGCCAACTCATAGGTGTAGTTAAGATTTTCCCAATGAATTTTTTTCCCTATACCCCATTTGTTTATCCTTCACCCCTATTTCTTCGAGTGTTTAACTATCCAGCCACGCTGAGGCAGGATAGGATTTGGAGGAAAGGTATTTATAACCCCATTATCTTGGCACCTTATATGTTAATTTTAACGAATTAGAGAGAAAAAAATAATTAAATAGTTGGTCTTTAAAGCTCAATATATGTTTAATTCTTATTTTCTAATCAATGGACCTTTATTGTTAAGATTTAAAAACAATCTCTGGAAGAATGATAATCAATAAATTTTTTTTTTTTAAAATTATAAATTGAAGGCTAGGTGAAGTTCGGGCTAAATTTGATGCTAGTCAATTCGCCAATGAAAATTCTTTGGGAGACCCGATATTTTGTAATTATTATACCGCGCAATTCGAGACAAATAATTAAATGTTAAATTTTTTTTTACAAATTATTTCATATAATTTCTTTATCACGTCGTCTCCGTATTTATTTGTTCATTACACTCTTGTTAGTTCATAGTTTACCACAGATTTAAATTGGTATATATAATGTTAAATAAAAAAATAATCATCATGTTCATTAAAAAAGCTAGAGTTTATGGGTGTTAAATATTTAATATAATTTTTCCAACAAATTTTAAATCCATTAGTTTGATACAAATATCAAATATAAACAAGAATATGTAATTTGGATTAGATTTAAGATAAATTATTTTATCCAAATAACTTTAAATAATAGCTGATGGGATAAATCTTTCTTGTGAAATTAAAATGGGAATCTAATAAATTAAGTTAATTTTTTTTTTTGAATTTACCGATGCAGTAATGCATTCATAAGAGATATATAATAATATTAAGATTAAATATGGAATGTTTACTAGAGGCCATAATGGCGAGGGATATTTATACAATAACTTGGGGTAGAATCGTATTTTATATATCTTTTCTTAGAGGTATGGATGATAAAATAGAGGATGGGAGGAGGCAATCTGGGCATCTTAATTTCGGAAATTATTCTTGTGTTTAGGCGAGGGTAGGAATGTGCGTCGGAATAGGTTTTTGGAAATATGAAAATATTTTCATATTAAACGATAATAATATCATAAAGTAAGTAAGATTTTGATGTGATAAAAAGTAACTTAACAAATTCTTGTTCTATCCCCTTATAGTCGCAAGTATGGAGATGCTTTTGTCCAGTTCTTTACTTCGATAAATTGTCCCCTCATCTTTTCCATATATTTTGCAAATTATAAAAAATTGTGTATATATGTCTTTAAAAGTAAATTTTAATACACTTAGATTAAAATATGAAACGCTGAAAAAAATTTTTCCTTACTTACTCAAGATTAAAAATCTTAAAAGCTATAAGATTTTTTAACTGATTTTCCCAGATATTTTTTTGAAAATCGAAAATTTTATTTTTGATAATTAAATTTTTTTAAAACTTACTTTACATAATTTATGTTTTTATTTTTGCGGGGGAAAGGACCTTATGGGGTTTTTTAAGCATGATAATTATATAGTATCAACATCGAATCGTCGGTGGAATATTATAATGCTTTATATTCACTGTTTCGCAAAAGGTATTTTTTGTTCATTCAATTCTTTTATACACTGTATTCTCTTCCATATCAACAATTAAAATTTTAAAATTTAAAGTTGAATAATTTTTATTAGCATTATTATAATATTATTAAAAATTTAAGAAATATTTTTGTTTCTAAATGCTCTCTTGAAAAATTTTAAAACGGATATAGAGCATTACAATATTCAGTTAATAAAAATAATTGAGTACATTTAATCAAACAGTTTAAGTTCTCGGGTCTAAATCATGAGGGGGGGATACAAAGTTTACTTAATGTCGGAAATTAACTTTTAAAATTTTAATATCAAAATTAAAATATTTTTAATTCGTCAGGTTATCTTATTGATGTGTAACAAAAAAAGAAAGTTGGTTATGTAAAAAATAAATTCTTGTTCAGAGATATTTATACGGAGAAAGCTAGTTCGATTCCCAGCGTCTTATTGTTAGGATTGTTGAAAGGGTAGTCGGTAATTTACCAGTTACAGTTAAAAATCTTTTTAGGAAAATAGAGTCGAAATATATTAAGAATTTATTTATTCTAAATTAAGATCATTAATCATGCTATCATTATAAATTAGGGGAAAATATAAAGGGGGGGGGGTTTCAGGGTTAAATAAATTTAAGATTATTATTTCAAAGATTAATAAAGTCTGTATAATATATATATAACTTAAAATCAAAGATAACTAGAACATAACTATTGCTAAATATTTACCATACCTTAATCTTAACAGATAATAATCCAGGATAAGTCTTTTTTCATGTCATAAAATCATTTATAATTTTTCCACTTCCAGTAAGGATCAAGGTTAACTAGACCCAACTCTCATTTTAATCTTCAAAGATTTTTCCTAATAAATCTTATGATGAAAATATTTTTTAAAAAAAAATTATTTATTTGAATATTATTTTTAACTATTCAAATATTATTGGTAAATATTAAAAAAATTTTGAATATAAATATTATTCAATGTCTGATTCGTAGGTTACTAGGAACTTGGCCTGCTTTGGTTTGGAAAAATTTAACTTCTGTTTCAAAAATGAAGATTAGCGTATTATTGGGGCATACTCTAATATAATTAATATGATAGTCAATTCGTGCATAAAATCATAGTTTGAAAAAACTTATTTTTTATAAATATTTTTTTAATTACATCTTAAAATATTTTTTATGCATGAAAATTACAAAAGATTTTAGAATTTTTAGGAAAAATTTGATCAAAAATATTTTATACTTCAAAAAAAAAATTTTTTAAAAAAACTATTTTCAAATCATATTAGACAAATTAGAGATTTTATAATAATAATAACAATTAATTATAAGGTAATTTAAGCCCAATTTTTTGGTATAGTTCTAAATTTTCTAAAAAAAAGAAGAAATTGATCAGGAAACTTTTACTGTATTAGTTATTATTAAATAAGTTTTCTCTTTTTGTGTATTAAAATTTATAATAATTTTTTATTTTAATATTTCGATTTCAAAATTATATAATACTGTTTATCTTCACCAAATTTAAAAGTAATTTATTTGTTGTTAATTTAAGGATGAAAAGTTTAATTTTCGCTAGTCTTATAATGTTTATTTTTGTGGAAAAAAAAATACAGTGGCAACAAAAGAAAAGGAGATTCATTATTTTATTTTTGTTTTAAAGGAGAAAAATTTTATGTATATACAATGACTGATTTTTGTTATGGAAATTGTTGAATAAAGAAATATTGTAGAAGAAAAGATTCATAAATTAGTGAAGAGGCAAAAAAATATATAACATAAAGGAAAAAGGTAAAGAATATATATATATATATATACTTTACGTTCTACTTTATGTTCAATTTAATTATATATAAACTTTAAGTTCTACTTTACTTTCATTTTAATTTACTTTTATTTTAAAAAGAAAACTTCAATAATATTTTTTTTATAATTTAATCTATGAATATATATCCAGAAGATGGCGTTAATTGTTTAGATTTTTTTTATCATAAATATCTAACTGTTTATTTCTTTCTAAACTAAGAAAATTCTAATTTATTACCATAAATTTAAAAATATTTGTATAATTTAATAAAGATAACATTTTAAACTAATTATAAAAGCGAAATTTTAAATTAAGAGTTATCTTAAATATATAAAATGAGATTATTTTATCTATTATCTAATATGGTAACCGTTTCCTGATTAATTTCTTCTTTTTTAAAAAAAAAAAATTTTTGTTACCTTTTTCTATATATGCCAAAAAAAAATTAAAGATTTTTATAATTAAGGGAGGAGGATGAGAAATCCGTAAAAATTAAATAACATTTCAAAAATATGACGAACAAGGACACGGTCTAAAATACGGAATAAATACTTTTAGCCAATATGAAATCGTGAGGTTTAGCCAAAATTTTGTTATTAATAATTCTTTCTTCATATTGATTAGACAAACTATACTTGTTAAGGCACTCAGATACACTAATAAATCACGAACCATTGCTAGATTGTTTTAGAATTAAAGCTTCCAATGTTCAGCCAATTATAACGGAGATGATATAATGATATTAAATATTTTGAAGATCAAATGAAAATAATTATGGGAAAATTAATAAAGTATAATCATGATTTTTTGGGCAATTTGAATATTATTTCAAATTCGAATCGTATATTTGTTAAGATGAAGTGCCAGAAACTTCCTCAAAATTAGATTAGTACTCTGTTTTAGAAAAAACAAGCATATTTAAATGAAATAATTTTTAACACATTATAAAATAGGTAACATTCTAATATTAATTAATATGATTTATAAATTTTTTTTCAAAATTCAAATTCATTTGAAAAAAAAATACTTCAAAATATTTTTTTATAATTTTTGATTTTATCTTGAAATATTTTTTACCCATGAAAATTACCTAAGGTTCATTTTTTTAAAAATTTTTTTTGGGTAATCTCTTTATTTATATTAAGAGCCAGCATGATATATAAATCTATATTAAATAACATTTTAAAAAATAAATTAATTAAATAAAATAGGTAAACATATCTATAAAAAGCAAAAATACTTTATTTTCAAAAAAAAAACATGAGAAGGGGGGAGGATAAAAGCCATCATTGAGATCCGAAGAGAATTTAAGAAATAAAAGACTAAAATTTGAGGAATTTAGAAATTTTTTTCTAAAACACTTGAATTTTTCGGGTGTGACGGGCTTAATTAAAATATTGACTTTCATAATAGGGCGGGTTGGGTTAAATTTTTTTGTAGCAGCAAGTGTGAAAGGGTGTAAAAAAATTTTTGCCACCGTAAGCGGAGTGGGTGGGGGGGGGGGGGGTAAAGTAAAAACTGCCAGAGCCCACATATAACTCTTATATTAATAATAATTATATAGAATATTTACAAAATACAAAAATAACAACAATATAAAAGTTTATGAAACTAACTATAGATAATTTACGGGAAAATTTAATATAATAAAAAAAAAATTATAAAGCAAAAACGTCAACTTGAGGATATATATTTATAGATTAAACTATGCAAACAATGTTGAAATTTTTTTATAAATTTAATTTTTTATTCTCATAAGAAATATATCATACATCATCCATCTTGACAAATTCGGTCATGTAGGTGGAGTTATTCGATGCATCCATCTTTAAAGAATTTTATTTGGATATAAGCATTATATTTGCATCAGGAGAGAATGCATATAAAGTGTAATATCATGAAAAATTTTGTATAAGATACGCGAAGGAACATACATAACTTGGCCTCCATGAAGTGGTAGGCAATAATAAAAATTTTTATTCTCGCAAGAAATATATCCTACCATATTTTATATCAAAATCATTACATTTTCTCTTTTGTCGTTGTAATTTAATATCATCATTAAATTTAGGTAAATCTTCGATAAAAAAATATTAATAGATCTAACAATGTAAAATGAAAGAAATAACAAAAATCAATCGACAA